ACGCCAAAGTACAAAAATGCTCCGCATTTCACCTTATTCCTACGTTTTTTAAATTTAAAGTTATATACAATAATATTTTTGACAATGTTTGACCTGTTTTTGAGAAGCTCAGAAAAAGGAATCTGATGGTTTAAATAAATATAAGCGGAGGACCTTTTTTTAGATCTCTACAAAAAAAAGAGCTTATTTTATAAAAATACCTGTTTTTTTAACCTGATACCCTATCGTCACCATTGACCCACTTTTCCCTTTCGTAAATCTTTTTTTCTATTTTACAAATAACACAACCAAACAATGATTTAATAATTAAAAAGTAAAAGTTTTACATTTGTCATTTCATACCTGTGATGACCACGTTTTTACTGTAGTTATGTCAAACTTGACTATTTCAAGACAATATTCAATATGACGTCATTGTTTTTGATTTATATCAGTGTAGTCAATCATATTCAAGACATAGTATCTGATTTAAAATCGCCTAAACATTTTTAAATAATTTGACATTTAAGAGCCATTCACATATCACAGTTGACATCTTGATACTTGACAGGCACAGCCAAACATTATTCTGATTTTTGACAAATAAAATGGCCGGTTAATTATTCTATGGGGTTGCGACAGAGAGCAAATTTGATGAAGGTGTTTTTGGGGCTAGGGGCGAAATAGTAGTAAGCCTGAGTTAGCACCAAAATAAAAGTCATTTTTAAGAAACTACTTATATATTTTTCATAAATTGGCAGGTTTGGCGACTAATTTCGAATAAAAATAGCCTCCAAATTGGCAATGGTTGCAAATATGAAGGTCGCCTTAGAAATCTAATCTCATCTTTACAATCAACAGCTGTTGTTTGACAGGTCGTTGGAGAATGTATGGAATGTTAGGAATGTTAGACGTTAGGAATTCGTAAAATTAGTCACATAACAATTGCATAGACGGATTTTAAGAAAATTGGTATTAAAGTAGTTAGGATGAACCGAAAATTCTGAAAATGAATAGGGTTCTAAGTTAGAATTATTCAAGATAATCAAAACCGCAAGTCAATTAGAACTTTGGTTCTAGAGTTATCGTGCCGGCATACATACACACAGACGACCAGACAAAATTTTTTTTTGCTTGATCGTAAACCTTAAAAATAGTTTTAAAAAATGGGGGTAAGAATTTTTTTTCGTCTGCACGAATAAAATACTGAGGCTCCATAGGAAGGGCCTCAATAAAGCTGACTTAAACTGCTAGATTTAACGTATTTATATACATATTTAGCGTTTCTCGATCACTTAAAACGTTCTAGACTTAACTAGACTTAGTGCCTTCGCCAAAAATTGTTATTTAGAGATTTTTCGTTGAAAGTTCTAGTGCATTCCATAATAGTGTATCCACCAAACTCTAGTAGTGAATGGTTCACGACGATTGTCGATGACTGACCATATGGGCATCTTGAAAGGGTTTCGCAAGTTGACTTACTTCATCGAATATTCTTGATAACAGGAAACTCAAAGCCGTAATAGGCCCAAGTAAGACAGAGGAATTAGAGCAGGACCGGACTGATTGAAATTAACTCGCATTTCATTATCCATTCTGTTACCTCTGAAAATGGGCATAATTTATCTTCTAAATTATTTGATATACTACTGGTTAGAAAATTACATATTTCGGGAGGGGTTAAATCAACATACACATACAGGGTATTTCTAAATACATGCGACAAAATTCAGGAGGTGATTGCTCGTATGAAATTAAGATGGGTCTTTCCTATAACAAAATTTCCTCAGCCCATCCCTTTCCGAGATATCACCCTTAAAAGATGGTGGCTAAAATTGAGTTTTAATTTTTTTCTAAAATTTCAGTAAAGCTAGAAACTTGAAATTCTGTAATTTTTGTGCACTCGCAAAGGACTTACCACGGGTATTTTTTCAATTTTTAAATAAAACAAGAATTTCAAGTTATAATTTTGTTTCCTAAAACTTCATCTCGAAGAAAAGTTTTGATATGAAATAAAGTAAGGGTTGCTAATTTCACCCCCCTATAATGTAACAGGAATATTAAAAAAATATCCGTGGTTAGTCCTCTGCACGAAAATTTCAAGTTTCTATCTTTACTGAAATTTTAGAAAAAAAAATAAAAATCAGTTTTAGTCACCACCTTTCAAGGGTTATATCTCGGAAAGGGGTGGGTTAAGGAAATTTTGTTATAGGAAAGACCTATCTTAATTTCATACGAGCAATCACCTACTGAATTTAGAATTTAGAAATACCATTTATATTCTAAATTAAACTGCAAACTCATTTTCTCAAAATTTTTGTGGTTCTATTCTATGAATTTGTAATTCATAGCTCCTTCTTATGTTTTGAATTCAGAATATTATGTTCTATTCAAATATATAAACCTCATTACATTACACTTTACAAAACATTAAAAATTTACTCACGAATTAACTTAAAACTCTTTAACAACTGAAATTGTAGAGTTGAATAAAAAAATTGTTTTTAAAACAATAAAATTAATTTATATGTCTATAAACTACACTGCTTCTTTATACAAGGCGATTACTACGCCTACCTTTTCTTAACTGTGTATAGAAGTCACTTAATTAAAAACTTTTTCAAATAATTTTTTTGGTTTTCCTCACCTGTAAGTCAAATGGTGCCATCAATCATCTTTAAGTCGCCCCGGAGCGCCACAGAAAATAATAATAATAGCTGTCCCTTCCCCTACGCAAGTCGCTCTGTCGGCTTCAGGGGTTGAAATTCACTCGTAAGGGGGTGAATTAGGGAGAGTATTATTATTATGAATATTTTTATTATTTATTCGGGAAAGTAATATTTAAAATGCCCGCACTTTCCAGCTAACGACAGGCCCTGGATTTACATTTTCTTATGTCCGTCCAGTGTTTCTTTCTTGCGTAGTTACCAAGATCACCAGACATAAATCCTTATTTTTTATTTTTTCTTTCATTTTATCAAAGTTTATTTTAATGACGTCTATCTCTGTTAAAATCAACTTTGGAATCACCGTGTATTTTAACAAACTTGCAATTTAAAAAATCGAAAAATCGAAAAATCGAAAAATCAAAAAATCAAAAAATCGAAAAATCGAAAAATCGAAAAATCAAAAAATCGAAAAATCGAAAAATCGAAAAATCGAAAAATCGAAAAATCGAAAAATCGAAAAATCGAAAAATCGAAAAATCGAAAAATCTAAAAATCGAAAAATCAAAAAATCGAAAAATTGAAACGGCCTTATAAAATTATTTAAACAAACTGGCAAACAACAGATCTAATTCCCAAAATCCAACAAACTGAATCGAAAACATACCAAATAGAGCAACTCAAACGTCAGAAGAAAAAACATTCTGTTTTAATGAAAAAGATGAAACATTTACCTTGATTAACTCTTCTCCTGACCTTGATTCCAAGTTTAGATTTCTCCATGAATGATACCAATTTCACACCGTTCTGTAAGTAGGATTTTTACTTCCCTGGCTAAAATCAATACCATATGCTCATCAAATTCATAAACTTTCTTTGCTTCTGTTATTGTCATACTCAAGATCATACTATCATTCAAATATTCAAAAACAAAACATTTACATATGGCTTGGCTTGAAGAAATCGAAGTGTCTCAGCTGTTTCAAGACAGGCGACATGCGAAATAAAATAACCGGTTAATTATTCTCTGGGGTTGCGACAGAGAGCCAGTGTCACTGTGGCTAGGAGCGAAATAGTAGTAAGCTTAAGTTAGCAACACCATAAAAAATAATTTTTAAGAAACTGTATAACTGCTTGTATATTTTTCATAAATTGGCAGGCTTGGCGACTACTATTTCGAATAAAAATAGCCTATGATTGCAACTATGAAAGTCGCAACCTCCTTACAAATCTCACCTTTATAATCAACAGTTATTTGACAGGTCGCTGGAGTACATAATTTTACAATGTATGGAATTTTAGGAATCTTAGGAATTTAGACGTGGAATGCTCGGAATGTATAAATTAGTCGCATAAGGATTACACAGGTGGATTTAAGAACATTGATATTAAAGTAGTTAGGATGAACCAAAAATTCTGAAAATCAATAGGGTTCTAAGTTAGAAGCAATTATTTAAAAAATCAAAACCGCAAGTCAATCAGAACTTTCGTTCTCAAGTTATCGTTTCGGCATACATACAGACGACCAGACGAAATTTTTGTTTTGCATTTTCGGAAACGTGAAAAAAGTTTAAAAAAATGGGGATAAGAAAATTTGCAATACTGAGGCCCCATGGAAAGAGCCTCAGTAATTATTAAAATGTTAGTGTTTAGGAGTTCCCTGTTTTTACGATTTTTATAGGTAGTCTCTTAAGACATAAAATAAAGTCAATAAAAGCGTATCTGGAATAAATGAACCAGCGTATCTCTTGAACTTCTTCAAACATAAATACAAAGGTAGAAAAACAAGTTTTCTCTATGCAATAAATGCTTTACTCCTAATGTTTGCATTTTATTTCAATTATTATGTGTGACCCCAGCCCCCAGCTACTACAGCTGAAGTAGATAAAAGTTTTTCAGTGCTAAAAAGTTTAAAAACATGGTAGCGAGCAACTATTGGTCACATTAGATTAAATGAATTGGCTTTATTAAACATATATTACGACAATGACATTGATATAGAGGAAATAATTGACGTATTTAATAATAGCGCTTAGTTCACTCCGCCGACCGGTTAGAACTGCTATTCCATGCAGAAAAAGAATAATTCTATTTTTAGTTCTGTTATTTTTTATTTTTTTGTTATTTGAAGGTGTTTTTAAGTATTATTTTTGTTTTTATGTGTGTTTAATTATTTCTTAGTTTTTTTTTTTTAATTTCTAAGGTTGTTTCTTATGCCTCACGATTTTTTAAATAAAATTTCAAAGTTTCGAAAAATCTAAAACAACGTTTTTAGACCACTTATACAAATTTTTGATTCATAAAAGTAACTGTCGTTTAATCATTTTTCAAAATAGTTTTTTTTTTTCATTTCAGAACGCATAGCTTAGATGAACGCCTTCTATCATGCAGCGAGACTATGGAAGTACGACAAGCCAAATTCCATCCTGGCAGTCAGAATCAAAATCACATTTTGGTTCTTACGTCAGATAATATGCTAAGGTAAATAAAAAATAAGATCAACGATATAAAAAATAACATTTATCTGGCAACTTACTTGCGTTATTAATTTCTCATACTATGAGAAATTGCTGTGAGAAATCATTTCTAACTACTGTCCCTCTTAACAGTGGCGTACCCACGGAGAGAGATAATGGGGATATATATCCCCACAGGAAGTCCTAGCACGTCCGCAAACTCAAACACATCATCAAAGTGATAAGTGATCATAAGAAAAAATAAGAGTAAGAGATTTCTAAATTTGCTTTATAATAATTACTAAATCAAATACATCATACAATTTTAAATTGTCTCAAAATTGTTGTGAGGAGTTTTCGCGGCACTTTAAAAACGAGGTTTCTGCTTGTATCATGACGATGATATAATTTATCGATCAGTTATGTAATATGGTATCAGCTCCTGGACAAGGGGACTTCTTATATAAAATAGAATATTCAAATTTACAATAAAAATTTGTTCCATATTCAATTTTGTTACCCCCCCCCCCCCCAAGATCCATACCTGTGTACGCCACTGCCTCTTAACCCTGCAGTATACACGCCGATTAAACACTTAACTGGTAACTTACACATTAATAAATGATTTTGGTTAGTTTTCAATAATTTCTTTTGAGAGATCTTCTCAAGCCAGCACTATCAGAACTACTTAAAATTCTATTAAACAATGGTTTTAGGGGGGTGGGTGGCTCAGTGGTAGAGTCTCTGCATGTGGATCCAAGGGTCCCAGGTTCGAATCCCACCGTTGGCCGGGATTTTTTTATTTAATTTAATTATTTAAAATTAATTCTGATGCCTTGGTAGGATTCCCACTCGACCATTCACTGTTGGGTTCTAATTAACAGTGCTGTTCCTGAAGTGGCGCTGGGAAACAGTAACAAAGCCTACACAGAACACACATGATTGAGAATTTAAAAACACAAACTTGAGACTGGCATATTAGGTATATATGTACACCTAGGCCATAAATCGAAAAAAAAAAAACAATGGTTTTAAAAGTTTACTAAAAAAAAAGAAGGCTTCATTATAACTAGTGTTAGCATGCATATTTAAATGAAATAGAAATAAAACTTACCTGGCCTCCTTTGGTGAAAGTTTCTGTTCATGAGCTTCTGGAACATATTCTTTTTAATTACTTGGTCAAAATAAAGTAAGAGTGGCATTCTTTTTAATCACAGTTTTATCACTAACTAAAATTCAAGATTTCTCAAAATGCTTGAACTATTTTAAAATATTTCCTTGACATACATTTTCATTATAGGATCTTCCATTACATTAAGCCTTTTATCTAACCTAAAAAACAAATAAAAAGCGAATAATTTTATATTTAACTACATAAAAGGTTTTTATTAGAACCTCAGTATAGATACTGGGCTAAAACAATAATTAAATACCTAATTGATTCATCCAAAAATAATTGTTAAATACCGGTCTGCATTGGTGTTAAAAACTTACTTATAAGTTCTTCGGAATTATTTCATCGGTCTGGACACAATAAAACTAAACATGTTTTAACCATTGTTTATAGAAATCTTTAGGGATGAAAATAACTTTCCAAAACTCACAAAAACTTTAAAAATCGCACAAAAATTGCTAAAAATGACGACAACACATACTTTGATTACTATACGATGCAAGAGAGAGGTCCGACACGCCCAACATAGGGAGCGGCCATTTTGATTTCTATGCCACAGTTTATAGCTAAAGAATCAGATCGCTCACTCTTTTTCGGCACTTTTGATCTCAATGTTCCAGTTTATACACTGCGCAACTCGGATAATACAATATATGACAACCGCCTATAATAAAACAGCAGTCTTCTGCGTATCCTGAATTTGTATCCCTGGAGTGGATGTTATTTTGGAACTTTCAACTGGTCCGAGTGAGCTAACTGATTCTTTAGCAATAAACTGTGACTTCAAAAATAATATTCACTGACACTGACTGCAGCAAGGAAAATATCAGGGCGGCTATCCTCGACAATCGCTAAAAAAACGAACCGTTTTCGAAAGTGAGTGGTTGAAAAGCGAGTAGTTTTTGAAATCTATATTCTTGACTGACGTTCGATGAGTATTCGTTTTTTAAGACGTGTACGTTTTTAACAAGCAAATAATATGTCTGGCATCACTGTAAACTGTCTATATCGTTGAATTCAAGTAATGTGCAGGCCATAAAAGAATAAGGATTATGTAATTTAATTACAACAAACCAATTGTAAATTTGTCGAACGATGATTTTTTCTAATCACATAATATATATCGATGTTCAGGATAATCTGAATCGTTAATTGTTGGCGTAAAGCTATACGGGTGCAGTTAATGCAACCTATAATTCTAGGAAAATAGTAAGTCATAAAAACCTAGTTTTTATGGTAAAAAATTCATTTAACTAATAACTTTGCTTATCTTATTTAGTTCTTTAATATTTTGTGGCAATTTTACAAAATTGTAAAAATTTCTGGACACAACGTGTGATACAGAAGAGCTTTGAACCGCAAGCAAATTAACATTTGTAAATAAAACATACATGAATTAATAATTAAATTCTTACACGGTAAGATATAAAAAATATTCATTCAATATCAGTTAAAATCAAAAACTGGATTCTGCCTCTGCAAGTCTGAATCTTTAAGGATTCTTATCTTCTAAGTTTTCTAATTGTACAATTATTGATAATATAATTGAAAGAAATTCTCAGCTAATGGACTTCTTTAGTACTGCAAACCATATTTATAAGAAATTAGATACTTTTGTAGGTATTAATAAAAAGTAGTTTACCTAGAATTTGTTAAAATCAATCAGTATTGTTAATCGTCCTAAAAGTGACATATAAGTGACATTGACTAAATCCTTGAAAACATGCACGTTTTATCAAAAACGTGTGAAAAATTCCGCTCGCTGTAAAACACCCGTTTTAAAAGCGTACACGCTTTTAAAACGAATGTCGAGAATAGCGAATACCTCGTATGTTGCTAAAGCGTATACGTTTTTTAGAAAACGATAGCCGAGGATAGGGCCCCAGGTGCGTTTTAATCATCCACTTCTGCTTCCGGAATTGTCGGTTTAGTCGTTTTAACCTGTCAGATTAAAACAAGAAAACCGACAATTTCTAATCAGAAGCGGATGATTAAAACGCACCTATTAAAAATATTGCGCCAAGATGTAGGCAACACGTAATAAGGGATCAAAATGGCGGAGTTTTCTATCTCCTTTTGAAAGGCACTCAGAAAGCTGCGCAGTGCGACCATTCTCCGTATAGTAAAAGAAAATCAAAGTATGTGGACGACAATCACAAGACAACTAAATGTCAAATGCCACAATATTCTAACTAATGCGTGTATCTACCTGGACATTTACGTTTTCGTAAATGTTATTCCTTGCCACGCGGGCAGCCATTTTCCTAACTTCCCCTCTTCATATCTATGGTTAAGCTATTGTAACCTATTGCAAAATTATTTCTCCACATTTGTGTTACCCTTCTTTATGAAAGCATTTGTCCCCACCTCCCCACCAAGACAGTCAGGTTTCACTACAACCTCAAGAAGACATTGCGATATAAGTTTGTAGACTCCTCACACCTTTTTTATTCTCCACTATCACCGATATTTTTCGTTGTTTTATAGCGCTGAAAGATTTTTACAGATCCTCAAATCCAACTCTGATAAGATAACTTTACCATCTAGTAGAGAGGTCAGCAACATGGGGTTTGCAAGTCGCATGCGGCTCAATAGAATCATTCTTGTGATTCTTGAATAGTTTAATAGTATTGAAAAATTTGCTGCAATACTGCCATTGTCAAACAAATTTTAATAATCTCGCGCACATATAAAAATACTCGGAAAATCGCTTTAGCCAACCTTGCTTCCCATTTCCTACTAACTGTTATATTATTTTTTTTAATATCACTAATGTATGTAGAGCTGGGTAATTACAAGTACAAAGTACATGTTGTAAAAATAGGAATTATGTTGATTTAATTTCAATTACATGAAAAAATGAATTAGCAATTACTTTTCTAATTACTTTGCCGATAAAACAACAAATTATGATAGAATTGAGGAACCAAGAACCAAGCGGACCGGTACAAAAAAGAATTTTAAATAGGTAATTCAAAGTGTCAAACTAACTTTGTATGACATAGGTACAGTCTAAACACCATTTAGCACTTAGGGCTTGTTTCCCCAAACATTAGACTGCACATATAGAATCGGAAATTGACCAGTAAGCTTTAACTTAAGGGAATAGACAAAATCGATAAGTAATATAAAAAAAGGAACAGGTAAGTTAATAATAAAATGTCAACTTTTAAAAGTTTATTGATTTGGAACAAAGATACAAAAGTTTGTGTACTTACGCATAGGTACTTTTATATTTTACCAAATCATACCATACAAATCGGGCATCATTAGTATGGGACCGTTTAATCAAAAAGATAAAATAGTTAACACTAAACATTTTATTTACAGTCGGTGCGGTAATCAACTCTCGTCAAAAATTATGTTTTTTATTTTTGTCGTTTAAGGTTGGGATACTTCATAAAAGTTTAATACTAATTTTTCAAATATTATACCCTTGAAACAGAATGTAAGAAAAATATTTGTTGTAAAATTATTACTATTTTTTTACTTTTCATCAAGCAGATAAAAAGTAATAAGGCCTGATTTGCAAGATCTAGTTATAATTATTCATAAAATGTTTACATTGTTACTTTTCATAACAAGTTTTTAAAAATTTCTGTCAGCCGGTTGCCACCTTTAACATAATATTAAAATTATATTGAATAATCTAAAATGTATCGTTCTGTATCTTGTTTGTACAAACAAAAATGAGACACATTTTACTTAAAATTGGTTATAGATCTACATCATCAAATAATTTCTTATAACATAAAATATATTTATATTCCGTACAAGTGCTATTAATTTAATTAATATACTGCATTTTCTGTGTTAAAATCAAATACTTGTAGCGCTAAAGTAACTTAGAATACGTTTATTAACATAGTTAATTCTTCATTTCAATGGAGAAAACTAGAATAATAACTAGAAATACCTACGCAACGTAAATAAGTATTCACCCTATAAAATTTGCTATTTACACCACTTCATACCATATTTCCTTAGTTTATAATGTTTATGCAACATAAATTATCTTTATAATAATATAAATATAAAATACGTGTTAAAAATAAGGATATCTGCATCTACTTACCCCTTACTGTTATTATTTTGGGTTAAACAATTTCACTACTTCGCGGCATAACGCTTTCCTCTAATGCATTCAAACAAATGGTATGGATACGAGACCGAGCTCTAGTGACCGGTTCGAATAGGAAATGTCTTGGTTTTATATCACGTGCATCTTATAAATACGCAGTAATTGTAATTGAAAAATGTAATTGTACTTATAAATGAAATTGTAATTAAAAAAAGTAATTGTTACTGGAAAAGTAATTGTACTTATGACAAGTAATTTTATTTAGACAATTTAAATAATATGAATTATTATAATTACAAAGTACAATTTTTCCACAGATTTTGCTGCAATAATTACAATTCCAAATTACGTTAAGAAAAAAGTACTTAAATACAATTACAAATTATATAGAAAAAAGTAATTGCAATTATTAATTACTCTTTAACTATTACCCAGCTCTGCTTGTACGTATGTAGATATATTTGGCTCTAAAAAAAAACACCTCGGGAAAGAAATGTTTCTTAACTCAAGAGCCGACTCCTAATCTAGTATCTAAATCATTAAAATTTTTATTTCTAAATAAAACAATGTTGCCACTTTTTTGCAGTTTTTTTTTACAGTTTTTTTGATTTGTTTATCGCTTTTTTAGGTTGTACCAAATTGAAAACAACCAATCTGCAAATATTGGAATATATTCAGTAGGAGAGAAACCAACAACGTTCTTTCCCGGCAGTAAAACTCCATTTCTGGATATTTACGGTGAAGTGGCAGTTGATTTTGATTTCGGCCATCCTGAAATATTCGATGGTTCCCGCAAATCTCCAGTGATAGACAATTCGTTTGTTTTGCGCAGCCAGAACAGAAATACTGATGGTATGTATTTATAATGTATAGATTCAACATAACAATGACGAATTAAACGTTACAATGAAAATAAAATAATTAATTTCTATTTTTTTTTTAGAAAAATATATGATCAACGTTGAGACACAAACTGTGGACAAAATCGTACCCAAAAAGCTGGGAAAACAAACCGCTGAAAAGGACTGGAATAACTTAGTGTGGCCAGTCTTTATTTTGAGAAGCGACATGAGCGTGTATTGCATCGATATAGATCTAAAGAAACGGTAATTATCAGCATTTCGGCAAACAAATGTAACAACTACCGTCACTTAGAAAATAACTACCTTCACTTAATAACAATGTTGCGACCACCGGCCAAAATAACTCTAGTTATCAACGGGGAGGGGGGTGTACACTGATAAGTGCAAAGGCAGCGACTGTGGATAGTACTCTTTCTGTGTAACTGCATTTAGTCCTCAATATTATTTACACATTCTTACTTTGTCAAGATGTCTTCGTCATCTGTGAACAGGAAGTTTTATTTTGTTAGTAATTTGATTAGTTAAGATTTCTCTGGTTTCTTAATGTGTTCCATTTCAAACCCTTCCTGGGTCCATTTGTCGTTAGAATCGTCGTAACATGCAATAGTTCCTTGTTGTTTTGTTATTGGTTTCTCTTCTTCCTTGCATTTGTACGCTATTTCTATTTTTTCTCCTTTTCTCAGTGTAACTTCTTTATTTATTGTTGTTATTATTATTGGATTTTTTTCTGTATTACTCGTCACGCTATTTGTCAATCTCGTTATCATTTGTCCTTGTTCTTGTGTTTCGCATACAATTGTTCTTCCTGTTAGCTTATTTTTCAATTTTCCAGTGGCCAGTACTTTTGTTCGTCCTGGTATAATTATTTCTTCTTTCATTATAATGTCAGTATTTTGTCTCTCGTTCTGTCCTTGTTATGCTTGTTTTTCTAGTTCCTTTTGGTGATCATTTATTTCTTCTTTTTCTTCCTCTGACTTTTTCATGATTTGTTTTGTAGGTTTTTGTTGTTTTTTCTTGTGACGTCCTGTAGTTCATTTTTCTCTCTGGGCTCTCTGCTTGCTTTCTTATTGGATTTTTCTCTTTGTATCCTCCCATCATAACTTGGTATACCGTTTGTTTCCATTATCTCCAGTCAATTAGTCAACTAAAATAAGAATTCCAAAACGCTGTTGACATAATCTTTCCTGCTGACAAAACAGTTTTTATTTTCTTTGGTGGCAGGAAACCTTTGTGTGTCCATTGTTTGGACTGTTCTTTGGTTTCGGGAGTATAATGGTGGACTCAGGTTTCATTGACGTTTTTGAAACTACGCAAAAAGATCATTCATATTGTGGCGAAAACGTGCCAAAAGCTCGCAAGAAATACTCATTTTATTCAAGTTTTTGCTCCGTTATGAGCAATTGCTGCGCACAAACCAACAAGAATTTTTCATTTCTAATTCTTCAGTTAAAATTCTGTGCGCACTGTCATTTGAAGTACCCACTGTCTGCTATCTCGCTCAGTTTTACTCGACAGTCATCCAATACCATACGGTGCACTTTTTCAATCATATCCGGAGCAATAGCAGTATTTGAACGCCCACTAAGTGGTTCATAATTTGTGCTCATACGCTTTCAAATGAAAGTACTTTATCACTCTTCTCAACTTTGGTGTACCGTCAAAACCAGACTAATTGACAGATCTCTATGTAGGTACTGTCATATTTAACTAACGTCCTGTTTAAATGGTTATTTGATGAATTTGACAGGGTGAGTGTTTTTACTCTCAAATTAAAGACTTGGAAAAGAATCTACATACATATAATATTTCATATTTACACATTTTCATTACCAGCTTCTTTTGAGCATATTGCAGTTCACATTCTACAATAACGTTTAAAAAATAATAATAATATTTATGTTGATTTCTATAGATGGAAGCCAATCTTAAAGGGACCCCTGCCCATGACGGCGTTCGAAAACGACCAAACAGAAGCTTGTTCTTTGATTTGCCTAAATACTGTTCCACAAATTTTATGTATCGCTCTTTCAAACGGTACTCTGTGTCATTCGATATTTTTGGACATCAACCAAGACTCCCTAACTGAAGTAAGTCACTTTACCGAATTTTCATTATCCTGAATCTGTAATATCTATTCTATTTTTTACACTTACATAATTTTTCCAGATGAAGGAAAATAGACGAAGCCTTACTGAACTTCCAGATAAAGAGCTACTGGCGTTCGAAAGAGTCGAATTGGAACTTGGACTGGCCACCTGTGAAGAGGACTTTGATGCTATATATAAGTGCCCGATTTTCCTGCAGAGAGACGATTCGAAGTCCTGCAGATACTATGCCACTCATAGCGCTGGAGTTCACTCAGTGGTTATTTCTTGCGTGGATGAGCTGCAGGATTTCGTCAATCAACCAGAAGGTATTAAGGAATCCAATTACTTGTTTAATATCCCACAGAAATCAATTTTAAAATATTTATATTGAAGCTGTAATTAAGGCATTATCGATTATTCGATTAATTATTTGATTTATCGTAATAATTAATAAATCTAAATAATTTTTGAATCCAAATATACGATTAATCGAAATATATGATTGATCGAAATACACGATTAATCGAAATACACGATTAATCGAAATACACGATTAATCGAAATACACGATTAATCGAAATACACGATTAATCGAAATACACGATTAATCGAAATACACGATTAATCGAAACGTACGATTAATCAATTAATTGAAATAATCGATTAATCGAAATAATCGATTAATCGAAATAATCGATTAATCGAATTAATTGAATAATCTAGATAATCGAAATAATTTCCTTTAAAGTCGATTATTCAAACGATCATTAGGTTGTTTTAATTAATCGAAATCGAATATAAAAAATATCGATTAATCTAAAATAGTCCAATAATCAAAAATAATTAATCCAAAATAATCAATTAATTGTATATAATCGATTAATCGAAAATGATCAATTAATTGAATATAATTGATTATTCGAAAATAACAGATTAATCTAAAATAATCCGTTTATCAAAAATAATCGATTAATCTAAAATATTGAATTAATTGAAAATAATCGATTATCGACTTTACAAAAAATAGACTAATCAATTAATCTAATATTTTACCCACCCCTAACAGTAATGGATGGTATTATTATAGGTCCAAATAATCGATTAATCTAAAATAATCGATTAATGAAAACCAATTAATCGAAAACCAATCAATTGAATTTAATCGATTTAACAAAAATAATCTATTATCGACTTTACAAAAAAAATCGACTAATCGATTATTTTACCCACCCCTACCTGTAATGGATGATGTTATATTTCCATTGTTTTTTAAATTCTTTCTGCTTTCTGTCAATCACTTTATTGTTCTCTAATTCTTACTGGCACTCTGCTTTATACTTTGTACACGTCCAACTTTCCATCTGTTTTAAAATATTGTTAATATTATTAAATTATGTATGTTGATGATACCAAATCAATTAAGATCTAGAATCAATAATTTCCTTTTCTACTGGTCACTTCCTCTGGCTCCTCCTCTCTATGAATACAAGTAAATCATGGGCAAAGATAACTTTAAAGCTTCATTTAACTGAATTACACATTTTGGCTCCTAGGAAAGCCAGCAGTTTGTTAAGAGACCACTTTAAAAATGCAGTGAATACGCATGTGTCAATTCTATTCTATCTGAATTAGGGCGTGGTTCAAAGCCCACTCGTACTGAAGCTCTAGGCTTATTGTATCCTTCACAGTTTCTATCACATCAGATTGATTTTCCTGATGAATTCAAGAATATGATGGGCGATTTCGCGATTTCTTCAGATTCCGGATATTGTACCCCGAAGTACCAGTCCCGTTACCATTTAAGGTTCCGACAGTGGCATAGTATGTAAATAGGAGTTTCGTTTTCTTTTTTATATATTGTACACAGAGAGTCCTTGAGTTCGCCTTTACTAAGATTTAGCAGTTGATTTTGTCTGCTCGTGGATGGCCCCTCTATGAATCTTTTGGACTGTCTAAATCCAGGAATTTCCAACCAGAGACTATGATATTCTCTATTTGTTTGTTATTTAACAACCTTTTAACATGTTGGTATGAGATACCACATGTGGGTTATGGCTCAATAAGAGTTTTTTCCACTTCTTTCCTTGTTATGCCAGAGCCTGAAGGGACTGTTGGCAATCAAGTATTGATTTAGATTGTACTACCCTTTTCAGTGCTTTAAAGGCTACCTGACTGTCTCTCATGATAAAGACCTTCTTATCTCTAACAGAGTCATTTAGCATGACTTTGACCAGGCATTTATTGCTGTTTACTTCAGCCTGGAAGACTATTGTCAGTGACCCCAGGTTCAGCCTAATGGTCCTCCCTGAGTTCACATGGTAGATCTCCTGTGCTGTTTTTCATTTTCGAACCGTCTGTATACCAGATTGATTCGTTTTGTTTTCCCTATTTTCCCGGCTTTTGGTCCTTTCTGGTATTTGAATATCGAAAGGTTTCCTGAAGTCATGAATAATGGGCATTCTATCCGATGGCATTCTTAATACGGGATTTTGTTTTAATTTCTCTAATATCATTGTGTGATGTCCTTTTCTCGAAAGTTCCCATCCAAATCCATTAGTAAATAGCCTGTATGCCGCCGCATAGCCTCCTTCTCCACCACAAGGTGTAGTGGAGGAAGACCTAGCAGTAGCTCCATTGCTGCTGTGGGCGTAGTTCTAAATGCTCCTGTTATTATTATTAGACAGGCTAGTCTTTGTACCTTGTCTAATTTTCTGTTAGCTTTAGCTGTTATGCTTTTAGTCTTGTGCCACCATATGACTGATGAGTAAGTTATAACAGGTACTACAACCATAGTGTAAAGCCAGTGCATCATACTTGGTTTAAGCCCCTATATGTTCCCTACCATTCGTTTACAGGCCCATAGTATTCTAACAGCTTTTTCTGTTGTTTTTTCTATATGGCTGCAGAAGCTAAGCTTGTCATCAAGAGTGCCATTTTTATATGTTGTCCCCATAAAGCTCCTTCATTCCTTGAAGGTTCCTTTGCTTGTGAATACAACAACAGAGGTTTTTGTCAGATTTGTGGACAATCCCTCTTTTAGGCACCATCTTTCGACGATATTTAGTGTCCGCTGCATCCTTTCGGATACAACAAACCCAAATTTAACGTTTACTACGATACTTATGTCGTCTGCAAATACTTGCGTGTATAAGTTGTCGCTCTCTAACTTCCATAAGAGGTTATCAACCACCAAGGTCCACATAAGAGGAGATAACACTCCTCCCTGCGGGCATCCCTTGTTAACTGAGACCTCTCTCGTTGTGTTAAGGAGATTGCTAGTAATGGTTCTATAATTAAGCATGAACTCAACCCACTTCGTAATGCAGTGGGGTACTCCACGCCCAGTATTAAATTGCATGAAGCCGAATCAAAGGCTTCTTCTATATCTAGGAAGACTTTTAGTGCTATTTCTTTGCTTTCCAATGCTTATTGGGCCTGTTGATCTAGACTATGATGTATGGCTGCATCGCAAGACTTTCCATATTTGTAGGTATCTGTCAAACTAAGAGACACATTGGCCGTGTTCACCGTTGTAAAACGTGTTTTAATAAATAAATAATCACGGTTCATAATCGGTTGATCTGACACTGAACGATCTTTTGTTTATACTTTGTTTTCTTGACTTCAAATTTTAGACTTGATTTAATTTCCTTTATTTATAGGCAAATAATTAACAATTACTACCGTTTACTCTATGTTTTCATAACGAATATCAATTTTTTTTATCAAAATCGGGAGAAATACAAATAAATAAACACATTACCTAACAAAATGCGAACAAATGGTAGTTCAAGGCCGATTTTATGACTTTGTAGCATAAAAGCATTGAATATTTTGGTATAAAAAATGTGGACTATTTTTAATACAGATTTATTTGTAGTTCGAAGATGTTAAAAAGAGGAAAGTTAGTTAAAAAAAACATTTTATTTTCCAAAATTATTAACATATAATATATAAACTCTTATTATTATACAAAATTTATTAACATAAATAAAATTACACAGTTTTGCAAATTAATTAAATACTGAACTAGATATTCCCGCTGAGTTGCAATTCTGTTTTGTTTTCTTGTTTAATTAATTCATAATTAAATTAATTATACTTGATATACAAGATGATATTTTAATAAATGATATGATTTTGGCTTAGACAATAAGTGGTGCTAGTAGTTCTAATGAGTCTATATCAGATAAAATAACTCTTTTCGTCAACTTTGGATAATTTGATACATTAATATGAAATCAGAAAGTGTCATCTTGTGACCATAAAACACCAAAGGACTTTCTAGTTTCATCTTTTGTCATTTGTATGATATCATCTTTGAAATTTTCTGGTAGTGTCTCAAGGATCTCAAAGCAATTGCTTGACCACTTTCTTTTTCTAAAACCCCCGCGATTTAATTGTCTTTATTATTTTTCGAGTTTTAATACTTTGTGTTTATTACTTGCTTCAGATAAGAGGTCATCAGCATAGAAATCGTTAAGGATAATTTTCATTAACAACTCTATTAATCATCTTTCTCTCTCTTATTTTACACCAAATGTTTTTTTTTGTATTCCATTTTTTTAGAACCACACTTCAATCTGTCTTTCTAAATTATTAAAATCGTAGGTGCAGATCCCACGCCGGACATATTTTCAAATCTGAGCAAAGCGGAATATTTGGTGTGCACGAAAACAGCTGCTTCAGAAAAAAGCAATCCCGTCATAGGCTTCGCCTTATATTACGAACCAACATCGATAATTACTCTTCTTAGCGACGGTAGTTTGGTATCGCTTTGCGTGCTCTTCTCAGGGTGTTTACCAAAACTCGAAGATTTGATAATAAGCGATGACACCACAATTACTTCCCCATTGAAAAAGGTAATCAAATAATTAGGCTTTTTAATGTTAACTTGAACACTTTTGTTACTTAAACCATTTTATAGATGTTACAAGAACCTTTTGAACAATATATACAGAAGATTTTGAAGAAGACATCCACTCAGCCAGTATTAAAACTGCCACCTAGCAGTGTAAACAGCCAAGAAGAAAATTATGAGGTAATTTTTTTATTCGAAATCCTACCGACTGCGCCAAATCCAATAAATATACAAAAAAGTATTTAAACTGTTCATCCATTATTATTATTTTTTTTTAAGCTTCTACAAAGAACGGCGCAGGTTTTCAGAGAAGAATATTTCAAGAATCACCAAAAGGCCAGAGAAGAATTGGAAAAGAGGATACAAATGTTGAATATGATGAAGAAGAATCAACAAAAGGAACTTGAGAATATGATGAGAGAAAGAGATGAATTGCAAGAGAGCGCCAGCAATTTGGCGGAAAAGTATGAAGATATTAAAGATAAGCAAGACGAACTATTCAAAAAGTAGGTCAATTTTTCCATCCTCCATATTTTTAACTCAATTTCGCAGTTGCGTGGTTCAGATTTAGATTCGGATTAACTTTCTTATTTTTTACTATTGGTACCTAATCCGAGAGTCATCAAATTAATATATTGTTAATATTTTATTAGTTCGTATTCATTTATTTCTTTTAAAAAGGAAACGAGCTATAATAATGATTTTTTTCCGAGTTTCAAGTAAGGCTACAATTAAGTGCATCTGTCTAAATAACGGCGTGTAATGCCGTCCAATTTATAATGATTCGATTGCCTTTTAACGAATACTTTCTCACGTATGATATATTTTTAAAAGTATTTATAAAAATAATAATAATAATAATAATAATAAATGTCTTTATTATTTTCATTTTGAATATACAGAATATTTACAAAATTACATATCAATTCGCTACATTTTATGCAAAATAAGAAATAAAGGGCGAAGTTCAATTCATGTGATGAAACTCACCACTGAATTGCTCTTCCACTTAACCGAAAACAAAAAAAAAATTATATTATATTTATAAATATATCGCTTGAACAGTTCAAAACACAGAAAAGAAAAAGAGATAAAAAAAAAAAGAAATTAGAAAGACATATACACTATCTGAGCATTTACAACTATGCAGCATATAACACATTTCTATATGATTTCTTGAATTTTTCATGACTGACAGATTTTAGTGAATTTGGAACATTATTATAAATTGCACATACATAATAAGAGAAACATCATCTAAACAGCTCTAACCTAAATGATGGTGGAGACAGTGTACCTTTATGTCTTATATTTAAATTGTGCACGTCAGTTCGATAAGTAATTTTCCTGTACAAATATAATGGTGTTTTACTAACAATAATTTTGTGAAATGTACTTGCAGCATGAAGTGTTCTTCTATTGTACATGTTAAGCCATCCTATTTCCTTTAATTTATGAGAAATAGGCAGTCTTCTTCGAATACCGAAAATTAAGCGAAGACAAGAGTTTTGTACCGTTTGAATTTTTTGTTTATATTGGCTGGTTAAGCATGGCACATACAGGACATCTGCATAATTAAAGATCGAGAGAATAAGACTTTCACATAAAAGCTTCTTGATATCAGAAGATAAAAACTGCCTATTTCCATATATCAATTTGATTGTTAAGTATGCACGCCCAATTAAGTTATTTATATGTTTTTCAAATCGCAAATCAGCATCTAAAACTACACCAAGACTTTTAACATGATTTACTAATTGAAGACGCTCGTTTTTAACTAATATGTTTACATTCTCTAACACAGAATCGCGTTCATATCTAGTAGCAAAGACAATAACTTTAGATTTGCTACAATTTATTTTTAAACCAGAATCGCGTTCATATCTAGTAGCAAAGACAATAACTTTAGATTTGCTACAATTTATTTTCAAACGGTGGTCAGAAGCTGATTTTACAAATAATTCAAGGTCTCTATTTATACAAGCACATGCATCATTTACTTTATTGGGGTCAAAACTGTAGTAAAGTTGACTGTCATCCGCATACAAGTGAGCATTACAGCTTTGAAGGCATTTTAAAATATTGGATGTATACAGAGCAAAGAGTAAGGGACCCAAAATAGAACCCTGAGGTACACCACATTGGAGATCTAAGTAAGGAGAAGACTGACCATTGATCGTAACTAGCTGTTGTCGATTTGTAAGGTACGAATTTAAAAGAGACACTGCATTCTGGGAAAGACCTAAATAACTTAGAATAGATGACATTCATTTATAGTTAAGAGTGTCAAATGCCCTACTAAAATCTAGTAGGACCAAAACTGTGCAATGACCCTTATCCAGAGATTTAATAATATCATCCACCACATGGAGTAAAGCAGTTGTGCAGCTATAGCCTTTACGAAAACCTGATTGAGTTACAGGTAACAAAGAGTAGGCGTCAATATGTTTCCTAAGTTGCACTTCTATAGCTTTCTCTAAGATTTTAGATAATGTTGGCAATATGCTAATAGGTCGAAGATCTTTATACTCTCGAGGATCTGATTTTTTTGGCAACACCTTCACCACCGCTCTCCTCCATGAAAGCGAAAAAATATTATTAGTTGGGCAAAAATTAATAATATGCGTAATATATTGAACAATGTGTGGACAACAATATCGAATTAGTCTTATACTTATTCCATCACCCCCCGTAGCATTAGTCTTTATCTCTGCAATAGCTCGCGATACAAGTAAATCGTTTATTTCAGTAAAATTGAATTTAGAATCTATTCTACTATTATTATTATAAAATAAGGTTAAATTTTCAGGGGGTTGAGATCCAGCAACAGAATTAGTTATTAATGTCAACAGGGTTATTAAGACGATCAGGAATGGAGTACTCTTTAACAGGCAAGACTCTATATGTTTTCAGTGATTTCCAAAATTGTTTAGAATTTTTATTATTAAACTCAAATGTAAAGGAAGCTTTTTTCTCCCGTTTTATAGCACTGTTTGTGTAATTTCGCATATCTTTATAAAATTGAAAATGGGCATCTAATTTTTTATACCTTTTAAAGGCTTTATCTTTAATATCCATCATTTCCCTTATTGCACCGGTAAGCCAGGAAGCTCGCGGCTTAGTTATCCGTGCTGTCACTAGTGGCATATGTCTATTAATAGTATATTACATTACGAGTGTGGAAAGTGACATTTTTCACACGAGTGGGAAATATTGTCGCACGAGGCGTAAGCCGAGTGCGACTATCACACGAGTGTGGAAAATCACTTTTCACACAAGTGATGTACAATATTTTTCCTACGACCACAAAATAATTTCATCAAAAAATGTAAAACCAGATTATTATAATAATTAAAATGTATTTAAAAAAATAATCAACAATAATCGTATTTATTAAATTTTCATAATTTCTAAACAAATAAAAAAAAATAAAAAAAAAATAAAAAAAAAATTCTGGCACAGCCAGGATTCGATCGCGGTCGTTGTACGGTCTCAAATTGCAAAGTTGATGCTCTAACCAACTGAGCTAACAGGCCTTACGGTAATTGATTGATCTAATCGCTTATGTGTTTCACCAGAATAAAAAGCAAATATATCTTAGTTATTTTAAAATTATTTTAAAAATAATTGTTAAAGATAAATATCTAGGATCTAATTTACAATAATTTAACAATCATATCGATTTTAGTATTAATATGGACATTACATAGATCAAAATAGAAATTATGTGTTTGACATTTTCTGACAGCTACTGCGGAAAGTAGCATATTCTCACTTGGGTGGAAAGTAAATTCTTATTCATACGCGTGTGATATAGGGCACTTTCCATAGGTCTATATAGTGTGATATGTGTCACTTTCCTAAGTGGTCGTAGGAAAACAAATTATTCAAACAGTTTACCAAAAAATTAATTTTTTCATCCTCCCCTTCTTGATCATATATTCTAAAAAAAAAGGCATATTATACAAGTCTCGCAGAAAGTCGTTTTCATTAAAAAACTTAAAATTCCTATAAGTTACTGTTTTCGGTCCCTCTTTCTCAAAATAAACTTTTAATTTGCAATAAGCAATATCATGATCAGCAATAATACCTGTTACTGGGATGACACCCTTCTCCACTAGCCAATCTTTAGATGTCACAATACCATTTAAAAGTGTGGCTGTTGCATATGTTATTCGTGTTGTGGTATCAAGAACTTGATAGAGCCCAAAACATTGAAGAATAGTTAACAATTTATCTACTGTAGTATTTTCAAAATTTATAAAATCTATATTAAAGTCACCTCCACAAATTACTTTATCAAAACTTGGACATAGCGTACTAAGTATGTCCTCCATTTCATCAATGAATGAGTTAGAATTCACCGTAGGGGGCTTGTATACAGCACCTAAAGCAATAGTTATATTTTTAATTTTAAGCTTCACCCAAAGTTGCTCAGAAAATTTTCCGCTACAGTTTAATTTAGTACTATTTATGTTACTTTTGACGTAAATACACAAGGCTCCCCCGGCAGATCCTCGATCTAACCTGTATAAAGTATATCCTTCTAATCTAACTAACTCATTTGAATATATTTTCTTAAGCCAGGTTTCACATATAATAAAAATATCAAAAGAGTGTTCCGCAACAATCAATTGCACATCATGCATAGATGGCAACAACGATCTTGCATTGAGACAACCTATATACAAAATATTATTCATTTAATTCAATTCAAAAATATCAATACAAATTACCATTAAATACGAATAAAGTTTAATAGGTATAGGTAATAGGTATCTGCCTATGGCAGATCAAACAAAATTGTCGGTAAGGGTTCGGAACGGGTTTTTATGTTCTGCAATTGATAATGGAAGAACTATACCCAGTCAATAATTTAATTTATTTAATTTTAATAATAAAAACGATACGCCCATGTGCGCGGTCCTTTTGAAGTCGGCTTTGTTGGATTGAGTCTAGGAAGACTATACAATATGAATTCTTAGGCTATCGCCACATTAGACAGAAGTTCAGCTACCGATATTAAACCGCAGATCTTTGTGTAGTAAATTCAAATGATAGGCGTTTCCCGATCTTCAGGTCAATGTAGCGACTTAACGAATTGTTTTGTTATCATATACATTTTTGAAATCGATTTGTCTGCAGCAGACGTTTTACTGCTGAAGATCAGCGGCTGAACGTCTGTCTAATGTTGCGCTAGCCTTACAAATTTAAAAAAGAAGATATTTTACTTAGATTTTTGGTTTTTGTGGGTCAGCTCCTATCTGTAAAATAAATTTTAGCACTGTTTGGTTAAAAATACTTTATTGTTAAAGGAAGTAAGTAAAAAGATACATATTTTCTTTTTAATTTATTCCAACATCATAGGTTCCAGTTTAAAATCAAGCGCTCCGCTGAATCCATCCACATTGTCCTTGTTCATAAATTTGCATGAAATTGTTCGGAATTAAGTGCATCACAGATT